CCTAATTTTAAAGATTAGTCAGAAAATACTAATTGATCAGTTGTAATATGTTAATATCATAACTAAGAGTTCAGTATAGAAATATCAGTATGTTGCAGACTGCATCCTAAGAACTGATAGGTTAATGGGAGCATGATTAATGCCATTTTCTCTACCTGTATATTTTCTTCTTTATTTCCTTCCTTACCACTTTCCTTCTTTTCTTCTGTCCTCCCCTACCCTCCCTCCCTCCCTTATCCTCTTCTCCTCTCCTCTCCTCTTCCCTTCCCTTCCTGTCTGTCTCTTCTTTCTCCTTCCTTCTTCTCTATCTCCTGTTCCTTCCTCTTTCAAACTGGAATTTTTCTCTGGAAAATTATCTCTGGTTTGGCTTATGTTGGGAATTAAGGAAATATGAGTAAAAATAAGATGTATTAAATCTAAAAATTATACGTAGATAGGTATTTTCATATGTGCTCTTATTTCTGACTTTCAAAATAACTTTACTGAGTAGACATTATAGTCATCATATTTATTCCTTAGGCATGGCTAAATGATTGATCTATGGTCATATATTTGCGGGTGGTATCATCAATCTGATCATAATCTTTAGAAACAGTGATATAATGGAAGTTAACAGATTTCTGTAGGAGCAACTGTTACTTGGGACAAGATGCTGGAGAACAGGAGGAATGCGTATTGGAGGAATTCAGACCCAGAAAAGACAATGCCTCACCAAAACACATGTAATGTTTTATGTGGCCCATCACTGATTGCATACTTTCTACCATTTTAATCGTATAATCTAAAATTTTAAGACATTCCCATACAAGCTTGGGTTTCACCGTTATCCCCTCCTTGGAAAAGACAGAGGATCCTGGATATTGGAGTTAAATTGCCGCTTTTAAAATTTTTCAAATTAGATGTTTATTTTAGTGCATGCACATGTGTAGGGAGGTGTATTTATCTAAAAGCCTCAAATATGCTCTGAATTAGCACAGGGAAAGCTCAGAGCCATTTGGCTCATATTCTACTAAGTGAGAAAGAGGGGTTGAGACAGCCAGCAGCAGAAGGAATGGGGAGTTTTCTGTCCAGTTGTGGCTTTCAATGCTAAGAAGTGTTTGGGTCTGATCAGTTGGGAGGATCAGAAAATGGAAGGGGGATTCTATTTTTTAAACCTTGCTAGTCTGTTCACTGGCTCAGAAATGCTCACACCTGCTGTAGACCATTCCTGTTTTACAAGTGTCCATGGTCTGGCTGGCTCCATCCTGAGTTAATGTAGGGTTCCTACTTCTAAAACTTTCCTTTTTACTATAGGAGAAATTAGTTACCTACATACACACAAAATGAATATAAAGTTGGGTCTTATTTGCTCTTTTTGAAAATAAGCATGATTTAAAGAAAAGTAAGAAGGGTTGGGTTTTGCCTTGTAACTTAAGACCATCTATGAGGAACTCACAAATTCTTCTTGTGGAGTGTGGATAACAGTTGAGATGTTGTGACAAGGCCACATTGACATCTAGAGACCCAGCCTTGGACAATGCTTCTGGAATAGAAGGAAACTTTATTCTATTATATTTAGTATTTTTGCTTCATGGGAGAAAAAAAAACAATTGTAGATATTACTGGGTAGGTAGGAGAGCTCCTCTCTATCAAACTGGAAAATGCCACGTTTGAGGTTGAACTAGAATGATAAAAGCCATGAAAGTAACGTCAGGATATCTAGTTCCTCTGTCTTGTCACATTCACTGTCTACAATAGAAGAGGATTGCATTAGGTTAGATCAGAGATGGGATATTTCTAGTCTATGTTTTGCCACCAACAACTTCCATGCTCATAGCAGATATCAATCTATTGTGATCTTTCATGCTTTATGAGTTCAGCTTCAGGATTCCTTTTAACAGCCCTTATGAAGAGCAGCTGTCTACTAAAATGTATTGTTCATCACCAGAAAACATCATTGTTTACATCCTTCCTAGATTTTTTTTTTGTGCAAATTTTATTGCCAGGATAGAACTATTTATCTTCATCCTACCTACACATTTTCCTTTGGAAGCCATGTCTCAGTCCTACCCAAAAAGTGGAAATGTTTCAGTTGTGTCTTTTTCAAGTATGTATGAACTTGTCCACAATAAGCTTTCGGCAACTTTATAAAACTTGGAATTAGTGTAGATAAGAAAGCCAAATGTTTGGATACTGAGCTGAAAGCATTTTGAAGTGTTGCGTGTGATCGATTTGAATCCAAACATTCAGTTGGCGATCTCACAATAGACTTTCGGAAACCCTCTCTTCTGTTGTTTCAGATACAGTCATCCAAATGAACAAGAAACATGCTCCAAACATGATGCAGACTTTTACAGCCTTGTTGATCTTCATAAATTTTGACATTAAGAGGGATCAAGATTCAGGAGGTGTCAGATAAAACATATTTGCTTTTTAAAACAATATTCTCTTTCACAAACTCAGACAAAGTGGGATTAGATGCAGTGACCAAGAGATGGGGAGAGACCTGGTGTACAGACAAGGCAAGAGCAATGGACATGGAGTCATGAATATGGTGGGTTTTGATCCACATTCTACTGTTACTTTCTAATGCTGGATCTTTCTCTTCTCTTCTTCAGATGTGCATCTTTGGAGTCTATTCCTCCTATGATTTATGATTCTATAAATCTGAATCACAGGTATGGAGCAGTGAAGGGGTAATCCTGCATTTCCCTAGAGTTCACCCTGTTTATATTGCTGTACTTTCAACTGCTTAAAATTTGAAAAATCAAAGAAATGCTCTAAATAAGGGCTTTCATTCTTTCATATTTTTAATAATCCAAGAAATTAACTTTTTAGCTTGTTTCCAGTAGCCCCCAGTTTAATAGTCAAGGACATTCAGAAATTTTATTATTATAGTATGTATTGGTATACTTTTGTTCATATATGTGCAATCTTTCTTTGGATTTTCTCACTTCACTCTTTCCTGTTAAAGTCTTCCCATCCAGCACATTCCTTTCTATTCTTTATATGTTATATAATCCAGGGCATTCTTGAAAGGCGATTGTTATGTCTTCTCTTTGAAGACATTTCCAGCTATCCAAAGTCAAATTCTTGTCATCTGCTACATACTCTATCATGACAATATTGTTGCCTTTGTTATTATTTCTTCATAATTCTGCTCATACATTTATTTCCCAATTTTCAATAGGACTTGTTGAGGCACAAATACAATAGAAAAAGACCCTTTTTAAAATTATAATCAAAGTGGTAAGTATTCTTTTTTTTTTTTGGACAGGCAGAGTGGACAGTGAGAGAGAGAGACAGAGAGAAAGTTCTTCCTTTACCGTTGGTTCACCCTCCAATGGCCGCCGCGAGCAGAGCACTGAGGCTGGCGCACCGTGCTGATCCGATGGCAGGAGCCAGGTGCTTCTCCTGGTCTCCCATGGGGTGCAGGGCCCAAGGACTTGGGCCATCCTCCACTGCACTCCCTGGCCACAGGAGAGAGCTGGACTGGAAGAGGGGCAACTGGGACAGAATCCAGCACCCCGACCAGGACTAGAACCCGGCGTGCCAGCATCGCAGGCGGAGGATTAGCCTATTGAGCCACGGTGCCAGCGTAAGTATTCTTACATACGCGTTTTTATATACAATCTTTATAACCACACCGGAAGTGTACCATTTTCTGTTTGAGGTAGGATAATTGAATCTAGAGGCAACTGAGGTTATGCATCTAGTAACTGACCGAGATGACATTGAAACTTAGTATTGTGTGATTCTAAAATGCATGATACTTTTACTACCACATGCTTCATCCTCTTTTCCACAGATTCTTTAACTAGTAGGTGAGGAAAACTTCATATCAAGTGCTAGAAGGGGACTGTGGTAATAGGTAAAATAAAAGCACACCTAAAAAGAATCTTGCTGAATAAACCCATAGTAATTCAATTCCAAAATTACTACTGAGTTTTCTGGAAGCCTAGACAAACTGAGGATATCCATTTTTGGGCATCTAGAATGAGAAAGCTGTCTGGGGTCCTACTTCTGAGACAATACATTGAAAACACCGAGGAATACATTGGAAGTTGTTCTCAGTGATACTTTGATAATGAGTCCAAAAAAATGTTTTGCAAGATAATTGCATCCACTCTGGATGAACACTGAAAGAATAGTGCTAAATCATGGTTCCATAAAGACAATTTTCCAGGGGCCTCAGTGATCACGGTTAAAGGATGTAACTTTCTTCTTAAAAGGCCTAACCTAGGGATAAAATGTAGTGCATTAATGTGTATTAACCCAGTATTTCCTTGAGATAGTAAAAGTTTTTTTTTTTTTTTGTAAACAATGAGATGTATTTTTGCTTAGATTTTAATAGGAGAGAGTCTGTTGTATAGTTATATAACTATGGATATACTAAAAGAAATAATTTTTAGGATATAGTAATCTATATTTGCAAATGGCAGAAAGTTGTAAGAAAATAGTATGTGGAAATTTGTGGCTTTGGGATTCTTTGGGAGGAGAGAGTTGTTGACAATGTTTTCCCAGAGGAGGCAGCACTTGAGCTGATCATCACTGAATAATTTCAAAAGAAAATGGTGGTAAATTCTGATGTAGACATAGGTTCTAGGCATAGAGATAGCTCAGAAGATGAAATGATCAACACTCTGAGGATGAGTAACAGTAGCGGTGAAATTTGAAATAAATTTTGGAGGGCAAATCTTCCCTGAAAGCAACAAGGAAGGGCTTTATGAGAAAAGAAAACTACATATGCAATGGCACAGAGGAACGAAACATGAACTAGCATTCGCTTTACCAGCTTGCATTCCCACCAACAGTGGATTAGTGTGCCTTTTTCCCCACATCCTCGCCAGTGTGGGTGCAAACTGTTGAACTCTTTACTTAGTATATACTAAGTTGATCTTCTGTATATAAAGATAATTGAAAATGAATCTTGAAGAAGGGGATGGGAGAGGGAGTGGGAAATGGGATGGTTGTGGGTGGGAGGGAGGTTATGGGGGGGAAAAGCCGCTATAATCCAAAAGTTGTACTTTGGAAATTTATATTTATTAAATAAAAACTGAAAAAAAAAGATATAGCATTCACATACTAGGTAATTTTAAGTTGGCTTGTGTGGGCACCACTTTTACTTGAAGAAAAGAATCAAAAAATCAGGTTAGAGGTCTACAGAGTCAGATGATGAAAGAAACAACAAGGAGTTTGAAATACTAAAGAGTTTGAGTGTTGTTCTGGGCAGCAAAATGTCTGTATTTTAGTGAAAAAATAGTAGTGATTAATTGTGAAGAGTGACAATAGGAATGTGTGGCCGGAATCTGGGAAAATAAGGACATTGGTATGATTTTTTCAGGTAACAGATGAAGCAGTTGAGGACGATGAATTGAGGAGTTGGTTAGAGTGTGATAGAAAGAAAGGATGACATGAGATCAGGGGTACTGAGGCAATAGAATTGACTGTGGCTGGGTAGGAGTATCAGGTAGGAAGGAATCCAAGATGACTCTGTAAGTGTTAAGAACCATACGAGGAAGAAATAGTCTGTCCTGTTCTCAGAGTAACCCAATAATTTGCTCAATGTCTGACTCATAACAAGAATCCAAATTACTCATTGTTAAAGACATAGCCATTTCTGGTTTGAGTGACTGGCAGAACACTGGTGGTGCAACCAAAGATCCAACAAATAATGCAGAATGTAAGATACTAGCTGATATCCACAGGGCTTTTCTAGAATTAGGCCGTATTTATCTAATTATTATAATAATGGACTATTTCTTGAGCTCTTACAAAGTAGGAGGCAGTTGGTTAAGTACTGTGCATATGGTATTGCAATTAATGGTCATGAATTATGACTTCAATGGTCATAGAGGAATTCTTCTACAAGAATGAATGATTGCTGTAATAGCTTTCTTAGGAGTGAAGAAACTCAAACTCTGAAAGGTTAAGGAAACCAGCCAATGTCACAGAGTTAGTGAGCAGCAGAGTCAGGTTTAGGACCCAGATCAGTGTGATTCAAAGCCTACAATGTTAACCATGGTGCTTAGAGATGGAGAAAGAGCAATTTGCTCAAGTTACACAGTAAGTAAGGGCTTTACATGGGCTAAAGCATCTGTTTCTCTTATAGTGGATGTTTTACCTAAAAAGGCTAGGTAAATCTTGATGATATCTTACTACATCACTCAGACTATAGATACTTGCAAGCTATTTTGGGGAATAGCCAACACTGTGCTGTTTACTGGATAGGTACCAGTAAGTTCTGTGCTTCTATTAAGTCTCCAGGCAATGAGATGCCTAGTGCAATGACCTCACTACTAATGATAGTGAGTACCAGAGCACAAGAAGTGATTTTATTCTTACTATTATTTGCTAAAACCAGAAGTCTTAGCAGCTGTAATTAATATTAGTAAGCAAAAATTTCACAGAATACTGGTATTTTTCACATGCCTGGCCAAATCTTAAAATATTAAGAAAGAATATTGGGTTCATAACTTGTCATATTTGCATGTGAACACCCAGAATCAAGTTTCTATATCAATGGAGAAGGAGACTTATCAAGCAATATGGTCTGGGTGACCATAGAAAATTTTCCCCTTAAATATTTATCATTATTAAGCAACATAAAGGTTCATTGACAAAGGACATTGAAGCATCACAACAGGGGGTGAGATTGTCCAGGACTGAATCTTATCTATGGTTGTTTGTCCTATTTTTTCCTGGAGATTTCTAGTATATTATCCTCCCTGTTTTCCAGACCATACTCGCTGGTTGAGTCAATTCCCTTCATTGACCAGCATCTGATAAACAGTAACTTCACTTTATTTCCCTGAGCACACTCCCTTTTTCTGCGAATTTCTTCCCATATTGAAAAAGGGTTTTTTTTTATTCCACATCCCCTTTCTTGCAAGGCTTCAGAGTGAATTACAACAGTCATCAATATAAGAATGCAAATAAAAATAGCTTTGAGGGGGTGGGCATTGTAGAACCTATGGTAACCCCATTTTGGAATGCTGGTTCAAGACCTGTTTTCTCTGCTTCCAATCCAGCGTCCTGCTCATGTGCCAGAAAAGGCAGCAGATGAATGCCGAAATACTTGGGCCCCTGCCACCCATGTTTGAGGCCCAGATGGAGTCCTGGCTGCTGATTTAGGCTAGACCCAGCTCTGGCTGTTGTAGTAATTTAGGGAGTAAACCAGAGATGGAAGATCTCTCCTTCCCTGCCAATCTGCCTATCAGACAAATAATAAGTCAATATTTTTTAAAAAAAATAGCTATGATTTACTAAGACCCTGTACTAAATAATTTTATGCCTAGCACTTTGTTTTTAAAGTTTTTTTTTTTTTATTTCATTTATTTTAAAGGCTCAGTGACAGAGAGAGGGGGGAGTGGCAGAGAAAGCTCTTCCATATGCTGGTTCATTCTCCAAATGCCAGCAACAGCTGGGACTGGGCTGGCTGAAACCAAGGTTCAGAAAACCATCCAAGTTTACTATGTGGGTAGCAGAGGTCTAAGTACTTGGTCCATAATCTGCTGCCTCCCAGGGTGCACATTACCAAGAAGCAGGATCAGAAGCAGAAGTGTGACTGAATCTCAGGTACTCTGATACGTGTACCAAAGATCAGCTTAGCCTGCTAAGCCACAATGCCTCTTCCTTGGCATTGTATTTAATCCCAGTGAAACTCAGACAAGGTAATGATGATTACATTGTAGATCTTTCTGGACTGGCCAGCTGGGCTTCCTTCCTCCATCCCTATTTCCTCTCTCTATCCCTCTCTCCCTTTTTCTTTCCTCTTTTTTGTTTATCTGAATTTTTAAATACTTTAAAATGAAGCTGGTTTATTTTGTAAAAGGAAAAAAAAACCTCAATGTTATTTTTGAAAAGTAAACTTGTCCTTATTTGACTGCATTTCTGCAAAGCAGGGGCCACTGACTCTGAATTTGAAATGTATTGCAAGAACTCAGGTTAGCTGGACATTTCTGTGAAGACTTCACAAGCACTCCTGATAGATTTACTATGTAGGAATATGAGACCAGACTGAGACTGACACTGGGATTCATACATGTTTATTTACTTGTGTAGCTTTGCATTGGTTGAAGGGGATGGCATGGAGAAGGCTTCCGAGAAGGAAGCAGGGAGGGAAAGGTGAGAACAACTGGGTGCCTATGACATGTCTGGCATAATCCAGGAACAGAGCTTGAAGGAGATGTTTATACAACAGCCTCTGTGAGGCCCAAACGTACGAAGAGGGCATCCTTGGTGTTCAGAAGATAGAACCCAGCACAAAACTATTACAAATAAGCTCCTACTCACTCTAGAGTGAGAATATAATCAAATTTCAGCATTTGGAGGATGCCTGAGAGTGAAGAATGTCTGGAGGGACTAGTTCTGGGACAATCCTTACAAGAGAGCACATTGTAAGTGTTGAGAGCCGCTCCCCAAATGTGTTCTTTGTCATCCAACATAGAAGGTGGGGAGGGGGCACAAATGGGGAAGTTAAGGAATAACATGATCAATGCCACACAGTTCCTGGAGTGAATGGACTCCTGTATGACACCTGCCATTTGTAAAGAGTTAAAAAGTTGAGATTGGAATGAGAGTCTTCTTTCATGTGGAATAAAGAGGTTATAATCTTTAATGTGACCCTTTGTATACACAAAGTACAGTATAATGTCCAGAAACTGACATTGTAAGAAAATAGCCTTAGCTTCCAATCCTAGAGATGGAGAAGACTGGGAGGTATCTAATACCTTCGGTCAACTCCACAGTCACCCAAAGAGAAAAGTTCTTAGCCTCTGAATGACTCTTTTGATGGGACCCACAAGCTCCACCTTTCTTTTATTAAAGTTGTTTGATTTCTCTGTCAATAATGTTTGCAGACATGGACAGGGATATTTTGTCTGTGAGGTAGAGTGAGGGCTTAAGCTCAGTCTATGCTATTCTCAACATTTAAAATCAATTTTCTTTTTTTATTTTTATTTATTTATTTTTGACAGGCAGAGTGGATAGTGAGAATGAGAGACAGAGAGAAAGGTCTTCCTTTGCCGGTGGTTCACCCTCCAATGGCAGCTGAGGCCAGGGCAATGCGGCCGACGCACCACGCTGATCTGAAGCCAGGAGCCAGGTGCTTCTCCTGGTCTCCCATGTGGGTGCAAGGCCCAAGGACTTGGGCCATCCTCCACTGCACTCCCTTCCCACAGCAGAGAGTTGGACTGGAAGAGGAGCAACCGGGACAGAATCCGGCACCCCGACTGGGACTAGAACCCAGGGTGCCAGCATCACAGGCGGAGGATTAGCCTATTGGGCCGCGGCACCGGCCTAAAATCACTTTTCTCCAAAGAATGGATTTCTTCTTTTTTCATTAGTCACTCATATGTACCATTTGGCCACATCTATGACTTCTGGACACGACAAATGCTCATCAGGTTCAATAGAAATCCTCACAATTCTATATTCTTTAGGCTAAAATAACCCAAGTGCAGAAAACAAACAAAATTGTAATCAAGTTCTCTGAAACAAGTGCTATGCTAAACATATTTCATTTAGCATCTCATTTAACCCATCCAATGTCCCTTGAGAGGAAACTTCATTCTAGTTTTATAACTTACAAAACTGTACTGTATAAAATTGGAGTTCTGCCACCAGAATCAGGACATTGACTTGAGTTCATTCCACATAGTTACTTGTGTGTTCTGCCAATTGTTCTTCCAGTTTTTGAAATTATTGGGTTCTTCCAGTTGGATCTCCCTTTTGTAATTTCACGGAAGTCCATGAACTTTAGTTCCTAGTTTATTACCTCTACATCAATTAACTGAGATTGCCACTAATCTCTGACTGATTAGATCACATGGAATGTTGCTAAATTTCAGCTGTAAGAATTCGAGAAAATAACTTACCTCTAAAAGATATCCATCTGTCTAATATCAAAGCTATCCTTGCAATAATCATTTCCAGTTGTAAAGTCATTGACTCCCTTGTCCAGTCCCTTCACATGTTCTCAGATATTTTAACAATTGCCCAACATAATCTAATCCTCCCTTTAAAATAAGCCTTCTTGGCTTATTTTATTTATATATTTTATTTTATTTTATTTATTTTATTAAAATAAGCCAGCACTGTGTTGTAGCCACTAAAGCCACTTCTTGCAATGCTGGCATCCCATATGGACATTGATTTGTGTCCCAGTTGTTCCAGTTACACATAGAGAGAAGCAGAGGCCGAGAGAGAGAGAGAGAGAGAGAGAGAGAGAGAGAGAAAGAGAGAAAGAGAAAGTCTTCCATCTGGTGGTTCACTCCTCAATTGGCCATAATGGCTGGAGCTGCATGGATAGAAAGCCAGGAGCCAGGAGCTTCTTCTGGAGCTCCTACGGGGGTGCAGGGAATTCAAGGATTTGGGCCATCTTCTACTGCTTTCTCAGGCCATAGCAGAGAGTTAGATTGGAAGTGGTACAGCCAGGACTCAAACCAGCGCCCATATGGGATGCTGGCACTGCAGGCACTAGCTTTACCCCTACACCAGCCCCACTGCTCCACTTCTGAACCTGTTCCCTGCTTGGGAAAGCAGCAGAAGATGGCCCATGTCCTTGTTCTCTTGCATTCAAGTGGGAGAAGGAAAGAAGCCCCTGACTCCTGGCTTTAGCCTGGCCCAGCCCTGACCATTTTATCCATTTGGGGAATGACCCAGTGGATAGAAGGTTTCTCTCTCTCTCTCTCTCTCTCTCTCTCTCTCTCCCTATCCTTCTCTGTAAATCTGACACTAAAATAAATAAGTAAATATTTAAAAATAGAAATAATAAATCATTTTTTAATTCCTCCACTAGAACATAGCCTTGGATCTAACCAATTCTCATTTACAGCCCAATTTGTTTCCAGAAGAAACAAATCCTGCAAGCAGCCTTGTTCTCCATCTCTTTGGCAGACATTTACACAAATGGTTCTATGGGACTGCATATTCATTTTACTTGCTTCCTCCTCCCCCAATTTGAATGTAAACTGATGAAAATTCTGTGTTCACAGAAGTTACAAAACAAATGTTTGTTGACTGCTGTAGTTCTTTTGTTACTCAGTACCCCCAATCCACTCTGCCCTGCCTCTCGCTTGGTCACCTGGTTAAATAGGCTCTTGATGAATGCTTACTAAAAGGAATAATGAACCAGCAACAACTAAATATAAGGTGCTGTTGTAATAATTGGCTTGGTCAGACAGATATTTGGATACCATGTGGAATTCTGTGGCAGCAGTGGAATGCCATTGGGTATATGGAGGTCTGGCAGAGACCAAACTGTGGTTATATCTGGGCACAAGAGGGTGAGGGTGAGAGTAGGAAAAATCGAGCAGGAGTCATTGTGTCTGGGATGAAATGGAGGGTTTGAGAAGGGAAGAAAGAAGCTGAATAGCAGACTGGTTTGTAAGATTGGGAAATCAGGTGTGAATAATGGACAACAGCACTAACAATCATAATAAATGGGTAATATTACATAGCTAAATGGACAATTTCAAATTTGGATGGCAGCTTAATTGTTTTTGGAGGTTTCCAATTCTTCATTGTCAATAGGAAACCTAAAGTGAATTTTGCAGAAGAAAAAAAAAGAAAATACAATGAAGTATTTTTTAAAAGATTTACTTTATTTATTTGAAAGACAGAGTTACAGAGAGAGGAGAGGCAGAGAGAGAGAGAGGGAGGTCTTCCATCCGATGGTTCACTCCCTAGATGGCCACAACGGCTGGAGCTGCGCCGATCCAAAGCCAGGAGCTTCTTCTGGGTCTCCCACATGAGTACAAGGGCCCAAGGACTTGGGCCATTTTCCACTGCTATCCCAGGCCATATCAGAGAGCTGGATTGGAAGAGGAGCAGTCAGGACTAGAATTGGTGCCCACATTGGATGCTGGCGCTTCAGGCCAGGGCGTTAACCTGCTGCACCACAGTGCCAGCCCCACAATGAAGTATTTTTAAAGTATAAGTAAAGATATGATGGTGGAGTGTCTGGGTGAAGCACAGTGATGTCTGGAACTGATTTTGAAATGGATTGCATATAAGATAGATTGATAGAGCTCTGGAGATGGCTATACATATAGTAAGACAAGTAAAAGTAAAATGTTAATTATAGAATTTAGGTGGTAGCTATGCATATGTTCACAATGAAATATAGTTAAACTTTATTGTTTGAAAAATGCATTGTGAGGAAACTGCCTCAGTTCCCTTGAAAAGAATCATGTTATACAATGAACAGATAAGAATTAGTTCACTAAGTAGGATATTTCAGTATAGTACTAAATCTGTATATTTCCACCGGGCTTTTTCCATCCATTCACTACAGTGTGATGACATAGAGGAAAGATTTCAGAGACAGACTAACTTGTCCCCAATTTTTAGCTTTTGATAAGTCACTAACTTCCCTGTCCCACAATTCCTTCATCAATCAACAACAAAATAATGATTTTATTTGATAATTCTAGGGTTATTGTGAAAATCAAATTAGTAAACGTAAAATGCTTAGAAAGGGCTACAAAACAAATAAGCTCTGTGTCAATGTCACCAGTTCTAGTCAGAATAACAATCATTAAATCTTCCTATTTGCCATTTTGGAATGGGAATAATTAATCTGCTTTAACATAGAAGAAACTGAGGGTTTTTCTAATTTTTTAAAAATATTTCATTTATTTATTTGAGAGGTAGCGTTGCAGATAGCGAGAGGGAGAGACAGAGAGAAAGGTCTTCCGCCTGCTGGTTCACTCCCCAGTGGTTGCAAGGGCCAGAGCTGAGCCAATCCGAAGCCAGGAGCCAGGATTTTCCACTGGGTCTCCCGCATGGGTGCAGACGCACAAGTGCTTGGGCCATCTTCCACTGCTTTTCCAGGCCACAGCAGAGAGCTGTATCAGAAGAGGAGCAGCCGAGACTAGAACCAGTGCCCATATGGGATACTGGTGCCACTGACTGAGAATTAACCTACTGTGCCACAGCGCCGGCCCTGAAACTGAGGTTTGGAAAAACATTCTTGCCTAAATTCATGTAGATTAGTCAGAGAGTGATACTGAGTCTCAACTCAAGCCTTCTCTGCCTCTTTCAAATTTTGCTTCTCTTTGTCTCCCAACTCTGGATCCAATGTTTGCCACCTCCAGATTGGAAAGGAATGCAAAGTGTTCAGCTGAGTACCTGGTGCATGGTAGGTATCTAAAAAGTAGATTAATGATAAAAGTTCATTTATAGCACTTACTGTGTCTGTTATCCTGCTAAACACTACACATTATCTCAAAGAATCCTTGTAAAAGCTCTACCAGTTTAATTTTACAGCTTTTACTCCCTTATTTTCCAGATGAGAACAGAGGCTTTAGAAAGGGTATATTGCCCAACATCCCACAGAACGCAAGTCTGAGTCATCAACCCATCTGGTTCCAAAGCCCATGCATTTTTAACAACCCTGCAACACTTTCATGAATGAAGGGAAGACTGCTTCAAAGCTTAGCCGAATGGTAAAAATTAGGAGACATGAGCCATTTTACCCTTAATCCAAAGCTCCCCCTGAGTCCTTCTCATCATAGATGCATTGTATTACTAGCAAATGTGAATGTTTTGATGAATGAGACAAACACTCCAATTGCCTGTACATTGCAACATCTTCCCTTCAAAGGCCAGGGAGTGTAGACTGTACGTTCTTTGTCCAGCTTGTCTGAATGCGTCAACGCTGTCTGGGAGGCACAGAGGTGGATGCTTTCCTAGCAGGGGTGAGACCCCCTCCTGAATGTCCAGCTCCTGTATTTGTAATGTTGCCATGTGCTGTACCACTGGGCCAAGGAATGAAGGGGCCCATGGTCCCAGCCACCTCAGATTACGCAAGCCGAGAAAAATGTGCAAATCGCATGAGAAAAGCAGGCAGTCCCCAAACATCTTTATTTGTTCATTTCTGTGCCCTGACGCTTTGATTGCAGTTTTGTACTTAGAAATTTCAAGATAAGTATCAGCAGCTGGACACTGGGTAAATCAGAGGCACTGACTCTGTGTAAATACTGGTTTCGAAAGCATGAATTTATATCCAACAGCTTGGAGCACAGGACCCACGAGAAGGGAGGGGGTTAGTGTTCTGGCTTTGGCAGTGTCAACCTTCTGAGGAGCTAATGGACATGTCTGTACATGCCTGAACTTGCCTGCAGAGCCAAGTGGAGATTTCAGGAGCTGCCAGATCCAGACACGAGCGGTCTGCTTGCTCGGAACCAAAATGGAACAATCAGAGGAAGCGAAGGATTAGGAAGGAGAAGCCGAAGATTACAGGCTGAAGTCTGTTAACAGAGCAGAGGCTGCATGGTGAGTGACAACACTGATGACAATAAACTAAATTGTCACCTATTGAGTAGCCACCATTTACAAGATCCCATGTACATTAACTTCCCCAACAATACTGAGGTTTGGATGGGATTTCACACATTTTTGAAATTGAAAAAAAAAAGAGATTGGATCAAACAGCAAGTCACTCAAAGTCAGAAATTAATAAGAGGAAACAGGTTTGCTACACATGCCTGTCAGATTCAAAGACCAAGTTTTACCTTGAACTGCCCTGATGAACCAATAATAAATCCAAAACCTAAATCCTAAATAATAAACATTGCATACAATTCCAATTTTCAGTTTCTCCTATACATACTGGATATAGAAGGGATAAAGATGCCAAAGAGGGTGTTGCTTTGAAGACAGTGACAGTTCATATACTGGTTCTAAATTTTAGTTAGTATACACCGAGTTTTTCCCTAATGACAGAACAATCAGAAGGTGATTTTATTTGTGAAGAGAGATAGAGTGCGCAGACAGTGAAGGTGAGGGGAGAGAATGAGGGGGTGAGGGAGAGGAGAAGAAGGGGAGAGGGAGAGATTCTTCTGGAGCTAAATTAACAGGCAGAAATGAATTGTTGGCATAGTATGAACTCAGAGGAGAGTTTATTGGTAAGCTCTTGCAAGAACACACTGAGAAGAATATGGTCTGGAAAAGGATGAACAACACTGGGTCTGACAGCAGCCTGGTCATTTGAGCTAAGAATGGATACATCACTGTAAAAAAATTAGAATAATGCATAGAGAAAAGAAAATGATGCTGCAGTTATACAGATGTTTAGGTCCTTTGTTTGCAAATGACAGAATCCAGCATAAGGCAGCATAAAAAAAAATGTATAGGAGCTAATGAAAGCACACAGGAATTTCTCTTGGAATAGTAGGAACAGTAAATACAAAAATAGGGAAGTAACATTGCTAAGATGCAGGAAAATGGTTAATTAGATAAAAGCATCACTCAAGCAGCTATATGGATCAGAGAAAGGAATAGTGGATGCTAAAATGCCACAAAACTCTTCGCTGTTTTTGCTGAGATTCGGCTACTTTTCTTCAACAAAGTTATTGGTTCTCTTAGCTATGTAAATAATAATGCTATTTACTGTGATAGGGGACATTGGCCAAAGGCAAATATGAGACAGGAGAAATAGATGAATGATATCTTTAATTCTGAACAAATTGGATTTGAGATGCCTGTGGGTCCTCCAAGAGATGTCCATAAACACGTAGATGGATTCAAGTGGATTTCAGAAGAAATATATTGGATAGAGTCATGAATGAGAAGTCACTAGCACAAAGATGTCAACTGGAGGTGTAGTAGTGGTAAGGACATCCAAACAGAACAGGGAAAGAAATCAAATATATAAACTTAAAAAAAAAAAAAAAAAACAAGTGAAAGCAAGAGTGATGAGTCAGAAAAATTAAAAAAAAAAAGTTCAGATTTCATAAAAGTAGTCAGAGAGAAGAGGAAATTAGGAGGCGGAGCACTTTCATAATGGGGAGTAAGGACAACTGAAAATTGGCTTTTCCATAAAAGGTAAGGAGAATACTGGAAAAATCATCAAAATAAACTTTTCAGAATCTTAGAATTTAATCTAAAGCTTGAAAAATTCTGAAGAATCTTTTTATTTATTTATTTATTTATTTGACAGGCAGAGTGGACAGTGAGAGAGAGAGACAGAGAGAAAGGTCTTCCTTTGCCGTTGGTTCACCCTCCAATGGCTGCTGTGGCCGGCGTGCTGCAGCCGGCGCACGGTGCTGATCCAATGGCAGGAGCCAGATACTTACCCTGGTCTCCCATGCGGGTGCAGGGCCCAAGCACTTGGGCCATCCTCCACTGCACTCCCTGGCCACAGCAGCAAGCTGGCCTGGAAGAGGGGCAACTGGGACAGAACCCGGCGCCCCGACCAGGACTAGAACCCGGTGTGCCGAGGCCACAAGGCGGAGGATTAGCCTAGTGAGCCGCGGTGCCGGCTCTGAAGAATCTTTAATAAAAAAAAGCTAAATGTCAGTAAGAACAATATAGAGTGTTGTGGCATTTTAGCAAACATTATTACTATTTCCTTCTACTCACATAGCAGCCATGGAAACCAATAGCTTTACAAACATGGTAGCTGCAAAGACTACAAAACTAGGAGCCTCTGAAAGGGACAGAAAGAGATTGAAGTCTAGAGATTTCCCAAAAGTCCAATTCCCAACTTCTACTATATTTTTTATGTAGTAACTCAGTGGAATACTCCATAGGCATTGTCTGTATTTGACCCAAGGTGGATCTTGGTGACTGGAAAAAGCTATGTGGCCAGGGTGTTTGCCAAAAACAACCAATTGACCATATTTGTTTTTTGTTTCAACATTTTTTTTTTTGGACAGGCAGAGTGGACAGTGAGAGAGAGACAGAGAGAAAGAGAGAAAGGTCTTCCTTTTGCCATTGGTTCACCCTCCAATGGCCGCCGCGGCCGGCGCAATGCGGCCGGTGCATCACACTGATCTGAAGCCAGGAGCCATGGGGCCTCTCCTGGTCTCCCATGGGGTGCAGGGCCCAAGCACTTGGGCCATCCTCCACTGCACTCCCTGGCCACAGCAGAGAGCTGGCCTGGAAGAGGGGCAACCGAGACAGAATCCGGTGCCCCGACCGGGACTAGAACCTGGGGTGCTAGCGCCTCAGGCGGAGGATTAGCCTAGTGAGCTGCAGCACCGGCAGTTTCTTAGATTTGACACCCAAAACAAGTGGAAGTAGAATAAGAAGGCATACTGGAAAAAGAAAAATATCATATAATTTCCCTGATTTTAATAACTAATATACAGCATATAAAAATAATGTACATGAATGACATTTTGAGATTTTATTATTATTTACAGTCCTTGAATATACTCCTAAAGAACAATGGTTTTTATACTTACTACTTGCTGAATTTCTTATTTAGTGGTGGATTAAACTTGTGATTATAAAGTAAATTGAAAGTATGTCATTGCAAAAATTAAAAGAAAAATAAGAAAGAAAGTAGGAGGGAGGGTGGGAACAAGGAAGTGAGAGAGGGTAGGGTGGGAAGTATCATTGTATTCTTAAAACTGTATATATGAAATACCTGAATTTTTTCCTTAATATAAATAAAAAAACTAAAAAGAATATTTGCTTTAAAAGACACTACCAAAAAGTGAAAAGAAAAACCATAGGATAGGAAATATATTTGCAATTCATATTTCTGTTAGAACTTGTACTTACAATGCACAAAGAACTATCACAACTCCACAGTGTGAAGATAAATAAACTAAAAATGGGCAATATACCTGAATACTCAGTTCTCTTCAAAGAAGATACAGAAATGGGCAATAAACCCATGAGAAGATGCTCAATATCACAGCCCATGAGGAAAGCATAAATCAAAATCACACTGAGAGGCAGCCATGTGACACTACTTGAACTTTGAAATTCCAAGTTGGAGTGCATGGGCTTTTATCCTATCTCCGATCCAAATTTCAGCTTCCAGCCAATGTGCGATCTTGGAGGTAACAGGCGATGGCGCAAGGAATTAAGACTCTGTTGCCCACATAAAAGATCCAGGTTGAAGCCTCAGCTTCTGACTTTAGCCTGGTCCATCCCTGGATATTGTGGGCATTTGGGGAGTGAAATGTTGGGTATCTTTGTTTCTTTTCTTTCTCCCTCTCTCTTTCTCTTTTTGTTTTTTTTTTTTTTTTTGTCTTTCAAATAAAGCAAAATTAAGAAAAAAAATACTGAGACATGACTTCACACCCACCAGGATGACTATGACTTAAAAAGACAAAAATAACAAGGTCCACAAAGGTGAAATGGTATAGAAAAGGATGCTATCAGACGTTACTAATGGAGATGTCGAACTTTGCACCTATTTTGGAAATCACGTTGACAGTTATTTAAAATGTAAAGCAATGCTCTTCTAGGTAAATATCCAAAATAATGAACATGAACTTAGACAAAAAAATTTCTATGTGAATGCTTATAACAGCATTATTCATAGTATATGAACATTGGGGTTGACTCAGTTTTCCACCAACAAGTAAAAGGATAAACCAAATGTGATATATCTGTATGAAGGAATATTATTTGGCCATTAAAAGGAATATAATACGTGCTACAAAATGATGAACCTTGAAAACATTATGGTCACTGAAAGAAGCCAGTCACAAAAGGTCACATTCTGAATTACTTCATTCACATAAAATGTCCAGAATAGCCAAATCCACAGAGACAGAAAATAGATTAGTGGTTGCCAAGGACATGATGGAAGAGGGGGATTGGGAATAACTGCTATAGGGTATGAGGTTTCTTTGAAGTGATGTAAATGTTCTGGAATCAGATAGTGGTTAACATTGCACAACTCTGTGAATATGCTATGAACCATTGAACTCTACATTTCCAAAAGGTGAATTTCATGGCATGTGAATTATATCTGAATAAGAGTTTTTACAGGAAAAAATAGAAATAAAGAGGAAGCTAAGAGACATGGTGAAAACATATGTTGTAAGTCCATTTAGATAAGGAATGAGAAACATTTGTTGAATTTAACAACATTGAGGACTTTGATGAAGTTGGCTAAGGATACAGGGGAGATGGAGAAAAGCAGTTTGATTCTTCAACAAATATTGTGTATCACATATACCAAATTAACATGTGCTGTTGGGAAGGGGAACAAATGAAGAAATCCAGATGGTAATAGGTTAATGTGAAAATAAGAAATTAGAAACGGGAGACTGGGGGCACACACAATCCTTACCAAAGTTTGGCTGCAAAGGACAGAAAATAAATATGTTTGTGCCTGGAAGAGGACATTTATTCAGTTTTATAGATACTTAACTAAACTGGGAAAAAACATCGGTATCTTAACATGGGTAAACTAATCTCAAGTGCGATGGGAAGGATTCAAGGGAGAAAGAGTGAGGGATTTGATGATGTGCCGTAGGAAGTGGCTAGCTGAAGGGACAAAGCTGTGGAGAAGTTCACCAAAACACTGATGGAGTAATAACTTTTGGGTAGATAATTTATTGTGATAATAAGGAAGGGGAAAGACAGAGATAGATGCCAGTTATCTGTAGGAGGAGAACATTGAAGAACTCTGCTTCTGTTGGATTCTATTAAAGAGAGGGCTTATTGGCAGAGTCACAGAAGAATTGGTGGAACTGCCATACCGAAGTGGAATGGGTACAATAGCTATGAGGGAGGAAGCGTGGGAGTAATGTGTAGAGGAAACACAAACGTTTTCTCTTAGTGTTGTTGAGGGCTCAAGTGGGTTTTGAGACCACCAATTTGTTGTAGCCCCAATCCACAGGGTTACACATTATTTTTATTCTTTCTTTTTTAGTAACAATGTTCAAATTATAACACCAATAAGGCAAGTAAGAGGGTCAGAAAATATTCCGTAGTAAAGGAAATGAAAGTATTCTACAGTAGATTCCTCTTATTCCTGGGGGATATGTTGCATGATCTCCAGAGAATGGCTAGTCCTGGATGGTATCAAACTCTATAGATACTGTTTTATCCTGTACATACATACCCATGCAGGTTTAATTTAAATAAATTACACACAATAATTCAACTTTCATGGAAATGTGGCAGCAGTTTCTTCATCAGCAAAAGCAGTCAAAATCCATTCCGAACCTGTGAAACCACCTCTCACTTGGAGTAAATGGCTTAGTGTCACTTGATTCAGGGATCTCTTGCTGAGGTTTCAAACAGGCACAATGTTTTTTTAGCACAGCATGTTTCTGCTAACTGGGACATACATTCTGTTTCCATACATACATGAGTTTGTGTTGCCGTACACAGAGAAACACCTGTTTTAAGTGGGCAGTAGGCCAGAGGATTGCCCAAAGGGCAGATGAATGAGACAAAGGAGAGAGCGCCTGTCAACACCTCCAGTCCTGGTCTGCAGTGAAAGAGCCCTCCCAGTTTTTGGCCACTTAATGTTGTAGGGGGTGGTGCCTCTACAGGTGTGAAGCCACCTGGGAGTTATATGGCACCTCCACAAGTTTCACATGGAGCTTAACATCCATATTTTCATGGTGTCTTGGATGAAGCAGAAGCATCCTGGGAAAGGAGTTGTTCTGATTGATAAGTAGGAGGATAAAATTACATACAGGGGCTGGCAGTAACTTCCAACGCAGCACACCTAAATTAACTACCTGCCTGCTTATCCTGCATCAGTTTGAGGTGTGATAGCAAAACTGGCTAAGATTTCTTTTTCCTCCGCCAGAAACTACACAGATGGAAGATTTGTTCTCACCATGGATCTTAGTAACTTTGTTGAATGCCTACCTCCCCTTTTTTGAGAAAATATTTTATTTATTTATTTATTTGAACACCAGAATTAGAGAGAGAGAGAGAGAGAGGAGAGAGAGAAAGAATGAGTCTTCCATCTGCTGGTCCACCTCCTAGATGCCTGCATTACTAGGCAATGGCTGAAGCCAGGAGCAAGGACCCTCTTCTAGGTGTCCAACATGGGTAGCAAGGACCCAAGCACTTAAATCATCCAATGATTTTTCCCAGCCCATTAGCAGGGATCTAGATCAGAAGTGGAACAGCTGGGACAGGAACTGCTGCCCATATGGGAGTTTGGCTTTGCAGGAGGCAGCTTTACCCACTAAACAGAAACGCCAGCCCCTTACTTTCCCATTTAAGTTGAGAATTCATGTATTTTCACATAAAGGAAGCACTTGATAGTTTCTGTTAGGCATATGTGTATTGCTAACATCACTCTTCTTGTCCTTTGGGGCCGTTATTCAGTTAAATAAAAGTTAATCAAATACAAGTATGATGCCACAACAGTTCTGATATCTAAGGCGGCTAATAACAACCAATGAGAGGGTAGATACGCAGTTAGTGTGTGCTGGAGAAAGGTGTGACTTGCATTCCGGGGAAGGTAGAGTGGGATGCTGTGAGGTTTCCTCATGCTACTCAGAAAGGTGAAAGGCTAGTTTTTATGTCTGGTGCATGGGTTGTGAAAGATTTCACTAGATCCAAGGATCTAGTGTAAAGATAGGCATTATTCTATATCCAAGGGAGGGATGGGGCAGGCAGGCACCACCTGAATGTTCATGGGGTAAGCACTTAAAAAGGTTAGGGATGAACAGTTTTTTTGTTTGTTTGTTTTCCCTTCTTTTTTGAGGTCAGAATAAAGCAGATGTTGCTGTCTGAAGGACCTTTTAGCCACTGTGTGGGTTGGGACCAAGGCACTTGGATGTTGTTCTAATAACTAGGAAGTTTTAATAACTATTCTGGTAATTGAATGCCCTGTTGTTGGCTGGTACATGGCCAAGCTTCTGACCTAGGGAAAAGCACAGTAGGGGGAAGGGCTTCCCTCTAGAGAGTAAAATGGAGTTACTTAGAAAATGGAGTAGTTTTTGAACTTATAAAATGTATGCATTTTTATATATATATATATATATATATTTTTTTTTTTTTGACAGGCAGCGTGGACAGTGAGAGAAAGAGACAGAGAGAAAGGTCTTCCTTTGCCATTGGTTCACCCTCCAATGGCCGCCATGGACGGCGCGCTGCGCTGATCTGATGGCAGGAGCCAGGTACTTCTCCTGGTCTCCCATGGGGTGCAGGGCCCAAGCACTTGGGACATCCTCCACTGCACTCCCTGGCCACAGCAGAGAGCTGGCCTGGAAGAGGGGCAACCGGGACAGAACCCAGCGCCCCGACTGGGACTAGAACCCGGTGTGCCTGCGCCGCAAGGCGGAGGATTAGCCTAGTGAGCCGCGGCGCCAGCTTTGCATTTTTTATTTCACTATTGGAAGAGACCGGTACCTGAGATGGCTGGATCAGAGATCCTTACCTCCATGTAAGAAAATAATTTCAGACATGAGATGGAGAACAGCAGTAAGCATGCTAGCAAAATTTAACAAA